GCGCAGATAGCCCTGGTGTAGCTTTGCGCGAAATTCCAAAACAAACAAACAAACTTCTTGAACCTACGTGTTTTTGTGACTTCATGAATCGTCTTTCCACTTAAACACTTGTAGTAGCCTCCACTAATGATGACGGAAAATGATTTCATAAACCATTCACTCTATAAGAAAATAAAACTTTCTTAAACTTGTGACTTGTATCTTAGCTTTTCTCTTCTTAATTTCGAAATATTGAGTAAAAAGATTAAAGGTCTTTTTCGAGTTAATTTCCCACATAATCTTGTAAACTTCAATAAGATAATATTTTTGCCTTTTTTTTTTTCAATAAAGTAACTTTTCCTCCCGGAATACATAGCAGCCTTCCTCTAAACCATTTACAATAAATCAATATCCTTTTTTAGATAAGGAGACCAAAAACCTTTTAACTAAATATTGCACTGTAGTGTCTTTTGCTTGAAAACATAACATGCTCATGATGATACATAAGAGTAAGGGGTGGTTACAGTTGGAAGCAGGAAGGGACATCCTTGATGGGCTGTCCCCTCAGTGGCACAGCGGTATGTCTGCGGACTTACAACGCTAGAAATCGGGTTTCTGTATCCGTGGTTGGTAGAGCACAGATATCCCTTTGTGTAGTTTTGTGCTTAACTATAAACAAACAAACCTTGATGGCCTAATAAGCTCTTTTTTGTCCCTTTACAATTTTACGATTCTTGTGATTCTGTATAATTACTAAATAATGGGGCAGAAATTTCACAATTTTTGCACAGTAGCGTAATAATAATGACATGCCCTCGTGAGGCATATTATGTGCCAGATTTAGGCATAAGCTTAACAAGCTACCGCTTAGGACCTCACAAAATTTGAAAATAATTTGTATTTTTCACTTTAAATACCTTGTTATTAGATAATTAAAAGGCATATATATGTTTTTAGTTTTTTTGTGGTGACCCAAGTTCCTGTTTTGGTACGCACCTTTGTGAGACCTTCTGGTGTAACTTTTTAACCAGGGGCCTCTAAAATTTATATAGCTTAGGGCCTCACCAAGTCTAAATCCGGCACTGGACACATAGAACCAAGGCTTTCGAAATCCGGTTTCAAACAGTAATGCAATACTCAATGGTTAAATAATTATTCTATTCAAAGTATCTTTTATTTACAAAGTGGAAATCATTCTCATTTACTTTAAGAATAATAAAGACGAAGTGGGGCTGTATGCTAAAGTGCAAGCGTCTTTTTTCATCATACGTTAGAAAAAATTTACTAAAATGGCTTGTAACAATTTATAATTTGCGAATGAAAAATATCGTTATTGAGTCATTTTTTCAGTATTTAATTTGTTTTCCATCACGATCAGTCAAAGGGTACTCTGGAACACGGGTTGCGAAGTGACCGCAATCATCGCACACGTTGAAAATCGAGGTTAGGAGACGACGAAGTATTTGCCCAACTTAACTGTATTTTGAAGTGAACTTGGTCTTTAGACTTTAAGTGAAACGTTAAAATATAAGAATTTCATTTAATTAATTTAAACATGTACGCTCAAGACGATGCAATGTTTCCCGAGGTAAGTTCAAAACATAAAAATACCCTTGTTTAGTATTAGTAAAACCTGGGGTTATCAAATATAAACCGATCATAAAATATTAAAAACGTATGTTAACGAGTTAGGCCTAACACAGTAGAATAGCTCTGTCATTAATTAGAAAATTATTCTATATTCTAGTTAAATCATATTCATAGTTTAGACTTTAGGTAAGAGTAAGATTAAGACATTTATATAGACTAAGAGGTTTTACCATTGACTGATTGAGCTTAAAAAAGTATGAATACCTTTAAATTTGTTTAACGATGTTGCCGAGTGTAATATGAAAATTTGACATACATGATATTGATACAATGATACATACACTTGCACGTTTACAAATAGTTAATAGTATTACTGGTAAATATTTTAATACTAAAGGTACCCTTAATCAACGAATGTTTATTTCACCGTTCTTTGCTATTCTTAGATGTCACTACAACTTGTAGTACAAGTACAATAAACGTTTTACATTATTTTACTGTATGGAGTGGGTTGGCCCTGTTGTAGAGCTCTAGATTACAAAATATCTGTCATATGTGCAGGTCTGGTAAATGTGAATTTTTACCTGGAGAGTTAAGAAACACTGTTGGAAATGTGGCTATCCTGACATAGCCATTTTTAATGGATTGTCAACTTTCTAGAGATGTTTTACACCCATGCACAATATTCTATGTGCAGAAAGAATCACACAGTTTTTAGTGTGGTGAAATAGTTTATTTGAATCGTTATGAGAGATATTGTAGTAATGCCTAAAAGTGTTATTTGTGTGGAGGTTTTTCAAAAATTAAATGGATTACCGTTAGGTTTGTGCAATTCCACCAAAACACCTATGATACACTGATACTAAGATCTCTATTCTATATGTTTTATTTACTTATTGTAAATCACTACAGTCAGGGCTAGAAATAATGAAATACAATTACTTTCATTTGGAGGAAAGCTATCAGGAAGATTACATTCCCTCGTGTAAAGTTGCATTTTTTCATGAATTGGTTTTTTTTTATTCATTCCATGCAGTATGCAATATGTTCATTTTCATTGGTTATAACTTAAAGAGTATGGATGGATCATGCATTCCTGATTGGAAAAGCCAACTAAAAATATGAAATTCTTCAAGCAAAGTTAAATTCCTTGGGAATGTAATATTTTGATCCCTGAAATTGCTGCTGTTCTGAATGCCCTTCTGTAACCTTGCTTTTTCTTATGTTGTAAAAAAGCTAGACATTAACTCTTTCTGTACCAGGAAAAGATATCACTGATATCTGTTGGTTTTTCCCTTCTCACAGTGGATATAGTAAAACCAAATTTCATGAAACTTGAAAAAGAACACAAGTTACTTCTCACACCTGTACTTAACATACATTCGTGGAAAAGTTTATAATCTGCTCTGACCAATGGTATTTAGACTTTACTAGTGGCTATTTTCTAAGTTGAACTACATTAATATTAGGTCTGATTGGGAGGTCATAAAAATGTGGGAACAAGATGCTGTACTAATAAAATAAGAGTAAGAACAAAAATTGTATGTGAAACAAAACCTTGAGAATTATATTCTCAAAGGATGATAGTTTTGTAACCAAAATAAGCCAATGTTTTTTAGATGGGCAGAAAAATTAAAAAAATATAGAAAAGTTCATTGTGTTCAGATTATGTTGTATGGAGGTGTGGAGAAATGTTTTAACATTTTTAATTTTTCTTTTTGAATTACACTAAATAAGTGTTACAAAGTGCCAAAATATCACTTCTAAAATATATTTTAGCAAAAAATTGTTGAAACAGTTATATTATTATTTTTACCTAAATTTTGAAGGTGTTCACTGGTACAAAAGGGATTAATATTGTGTGACATATAAGCTTCAAAAGTCCAGATCTAGACATAACTTTAACATAAGATTTAAGGGAGCTATTGGTCAATTTTTCCCATCCACGAAACCAAACTAATATAAAAAACAAAGCCATCCCTTATCATTTAAACATATGTTGAGCATTCCCTTAAAGATACTGTATTAGTCATATCTGAAGGCAACCAACTCCAAAGACCAACCACATGCATTACCTTGCTTTTATTATAATTAAAAACCATCTGTAAGCTACTAAAAATGGTGTATAGATTTAAAAAATAATTGTTAGTATACTATTTTCTTATCTATACATAAAAAATTACATTTATATTACAAAATTTGATTTTCTTTCCTTTATTTTAGTATGATCCTTATGCCTATCCATCTTCACATGACTATGATTTTCATACAGGTAAGATGATGTTTAGTATATTCTGCTCCGGTAGTTATCATAAGGGTACAGAAATGTTGTGTGCTGAATGAATGAAAGTGCTTTTGAAAGTAATTAAAACTTATGGAGACAGATTTGTCGCAGTGCCAGAGTATTTGGACATGAATTAACAGGGAATTATCTCTACAGATGTCTGATGCAATTTGTTCCCATTGCTGTTTCAAAGGTTATGGTGTAACATTTCAAATTAACTCTACTGGACAGTCTCAGATATGCTGTATATGTGTGTAACGTATTCTAGAGCATTATCGGAAACCAAGTCTTGGTGATACTTTCTTGTCAGAGAACACCACCATGGCCTGCTACAAAAAAGTACACTGCTTTTCCCCCCTTCCAACATTTGGGGTCTGGCATGGCCAGGTGGTTATGGCGCATGACTTGCAATTTTAGCCATTGAGGCATTATAATGTGATGGCCAATCCCACTATTTGTTGGTAAAAGAGTAGCTCAAGAATTGGCAGTGGGTGGTGATGACTAGCTGCCTTCCCTCTAGTCTTTCATTCCTCAATTAGGGACGGCTAACGTGGATAGCCTTTATGTAGCTTTATGCAAAATTCAAAGCAAACAAAACATTCAACATTTGTATAAAAGGCCAGAAAATTCATCATTTGTAGGGCAAAGCCATTTAACCTTGGATTTTCTCTCATTTTCAAGGTCACCAAGGCCAAAAAAATTCACTGGAGGGCACAAAAGCTACAGTACACATTAACATTAATGAAATAGAAACGAGTTTCCCAATTAGTTTAGTAAATATGGCATTGATGATTTTCACTGGGGAAGCTGGTCTATCCTTCTAGGTTATGTTTATCAGATGGGTAAGTATTAACTTTAACCAATGAGATGTATGAAGTAATAATATATCAGCTTGAAGATTAAAAAATGAATTTTTGAACTGCTCTCTTGTAATGGGAACATAAACAAAATAATGTTTTTGATTTGAAATAACAAACAATACTACTACTAGTATTTTTTCACATAATTTCTAGAAAAGGTTAGTGCCAATAAACAGTAAATTAGGCCTATACTACAGTGTAGCACATGGTCATAACCTATAAGTCACGTGTCATCACATGTTGCATTGTGCAACTCCTTACTTGTAATTCAGTAGCATTAACATTAGCTAGCTATTGTAGTAGGCCTAAGCCTTGGGTGGATTTGCACGTAAAAAATATCGAGCCGAATTATTTACATATCCTATTTTCCTTCATTTTCTAAAAAATCTGAATGTCATCTGCATATTTACCAATGGAAAAAAATGTTCCAATTTCTGGCACTTGGCCACCACAGAAAAAAGTTTTACGGCATTCTCCCTCTTAACTCGTCATTTTTTTGGCATGTTTAATACAAGGAGTATTTGTAGTTGTGCACTTCATTCTGACCAGTGTATGTATGTGCTGACTTTGGTCATCCCATAGCCAGTGCACAGAATTTAGCCAACATTCTGACACTGACCACAGTCATTTTCAGTTAACATAATTATTTTCTTATTGCTCACCTGTCTGTTTTTTTAGATACCTATTCTATCTTCATTTTGAAAACACGTGAAGCTGCTGCCACATTTCTCACAAAATTCACATACAATTGTCAATATTGATGGCAAAAATTCTTGAGGATGATGTATAGTTAGTGCATCCTTGTTGTTTCAAAGCACTCACTTTGTAGAAAACAAGCTGCTTGTTCATATGATGCTACCTTAACTACAGTAAAGTCACTGAATTTGCTGCAAAGAATATTTCCATCTCTTACAGTCCTAACAAGTAAATATATTTTTTGTTTGGAAACCCTTTTTGACTCACTTGTACTTAGCTGTTGTAACAAGCATGTAACTATTTTCTCGTGTAGATTTTCCATGTTTCCAGCAGCCATTAATCTTCATGCTTTCAAAGTCACATAAATTGTGACATTATGGTATTTTGCAACTACTTTGAAACTGCATGTGGATTGTACCTGTGATTATATTCTGTCAAAGTTCTCAGGTGTGTTGTGTTACGTGGGTATGTGAAGGCTTTTAGCAAAGCAACATATTTGAACAAAAATGTTCTTCCTTATTTGAGTATTGTTAAAAAGAACTGATGTTTGTATTTTAAAAATTTTTCGTTTACTAACAAATTGTGATGTATTTTTCACTCTTGTAACAACTAACTTATGTAGTTGTACACAAATTTCTGCATTAATTATTTTATAAATTCTCTTTTTAATATTATTAATTTTATGAATAACTAATCATTCATGCAAACTCCTTGAGCTTGAAGATCAGGAAGATGAATGCATTTATTGATGTAGCCACACTTACCTTGTATTTGTCACTAGTCAGACAGAATTATTGTGAACACATGTTTATGGTCAGTTGTATTTTATTAGAAAAGTAGTCAGGCAGCTTAAAGATAATTTACAGAAAATGTCTCTTGTTTGCATCATTAAAATCACATTCTAAACTATGTTTTGAATTAGTGTTTTAACATTTTTCCATTAATTTTATATAATAAATTATAGGAGATCCCCGACAAGACTTGGAGTATGAGAGACAATTTTCACAAAGTTACAAGGTGCCTGAAGGAGTCCGCAATTTCCTGGTTTACTTGAGAAAGGCTATTGGTGAAGGCAATGTTTATGAGATTCAAGATCTTTATGAAAACAGGTATGAACTTCTATAGAGCTATTGTAAAATATTGATATATTTCTTGAATGATAATCAGGGCATATGTTTATATTTTAATAATTATCAAATTACTTATGAAAAAATGAAATTGCATTGGACATTTTAAACATATTCCTGTTGTGTATTTGAGTACTATAATTTGATAAATATTGAGAACAAATCATTCTACTATTTTTAAATTGTAGAAAATATTCAAAACTGATAGAAGAGAAGTATGTTTTTGGAATAAGTTGTACTTTAATAGTTTAAAATGTTAGGTTTTGTAAAGAAATGCCTTAAAATTAGTGAAAAAATGTGTAGCAAAACATTGGAGTATTAACACCTTATATGAGAGAAATCACCCATTTGCTATGCATGGACAAAAGGAATTCTAGGTTTAAATATTAATTCATGCAATTCTACCATATAATTTAATGACTAAAAAGAACTATAAAGAACCCTATTTAGTTATTACAACACAAATATTATGTCACCGTGCCTACTTATCAGTTCATTATTGGTTAATTGTACAGGTTAATTTCACTGGTAAATTTTCTTACAAGAGGTAAGTTATGATCTGACAACACAAAATATCTACAAAATGTTGTACTTGTCTGATCAGATTTATGTATTGTGGACCATACTCAAGTGAAGGGTGGTGCATAGGTGTGTACAGGTCAGAAAGAACTAGGAGTTAATCTTCCTTGAATGTAATGAGAATGACCACTGACATAGAAAAACCAGAACTGTGCAATACTGCAGTAAGATAAGTGAAGTATGGAGTATTATGAGATTCCTGTGGAGTAAAGTTGTTCCCCATCTAACTCGATTACTGATAGTACAAGATATTACAATATTTACTTTTTTTACGATTAGTTTTATTACGAAGTGCTACTGAATATTGTTTAACAGCAAATTCCATTTGATTTAATTAAGAGCTGATATACGAACTGAAGTAACTTAAGTTTTAAAATACAAGAAAATGTATAATATATCACCATTTTAAAATACAAGAAAATGTACAATATATCACCATTTTAAAATACAAGAAAATGTACAATATATCACCATTTTAAAATACAAGAAAATGTATAATATATCACCATTTTAAAATACAAGAAAATGTACAATATATCACCATTTTAAAATGGTGATATATTGTACATTTTCTTGTATTTTAAAAATACAAGAAAATGTACAATATATCACCATTTTAAAATACAAGAAAATGTACAATATATCACCATTTTAAAATACAAGAAAATGTACAATATATCACCATTTTAAAATACAAGAAAATGTACAATATATCACCATTTTAAAATACAAGAAAATGTACAATATATCACCATTTTAAAATACAATAAAATGTACAATATATCACCATTTTAAAATACAAGAAAATGTACAATATATCACCATTTTAAAATACAAGAAAATGTACAATATATCACCATTTTAAAATACAAGAAAATGTACAATATATCACCATTGTAATCAGACTAAAATCTAGGATGATTTTGAGACTGTTAAACAAAAATAATTTAACGTTCCAAAAAATATTATTTTATGAAAATTTGAATATATGGATTAACCAAGATATGGAAAAATCCAAAAATAGCAGTGAAAAGAGGATTTGTGAACAAACCTTGTTCGAGTATTAAGTCAGCTAACATAAATATGTTTTATATGTTTTGCAGAAATTAAATTCATATGATACTGTGATTGGAACTTTACAATGAAAGTGTTAAGATTTTTTTGTGTGAATGATTAGCAGCTCCAATAAAGGTTTTCAAAAACATTTTGTGAATTTTTACAATTGCATAGATTAGATTGGTTAGCCCTATTTGAGTACATGCACACTGTACCTGGAAATGTAGTTATAATCATACTTACATGTTATTTAAGCTTTACATATTTTTAAACCTTTAGAAGTGAATCACAATCGTGATTATGTTGGTTGTTTTCTTATATCGACTGATAAATATAACTCAAGATAAGAATTAAAAATCAAGATCTTGCATCTATTTTTTTTTACTTAATTTATGAATTTACTCGAGTTTATAATATGATGTACCATTTCTACGTCAGTAAAAACTTAACACTGTCATGTTCCATCAAATGACAATAAATTGTGTACTATTAAAATATGGATTATTAGCTTAGATTTTATGCTATTCTAATTGATATACCATAAACAAAAAGTAGTTTAATAAAATTTTGAATGTAAGACACTAAAACCTTATGTCATGCGCAGCAAAGGGTATCCGTGCCAATAGGGTTAAAAGAACAGAAATAATTAATTATGAGACTTGGGTGGCCATGTAAGCTACTAACTATGATAAGGATATTTACATTTGTTTTCATTATAAAGTTTCAGTGTTTTAAACTTATTTGAGGAATTCATTTTTGTCTTGGTTTTTTTGACAGCTATGTTAAGCTGACTGAGAGGTACTTTAAAACTACTCCTTGGCCTGAAGTCAAAGATGTTTCTCCAATTGTACAAGATGGTAAGCTTTTATGTGTTACTTTAAGAGAATATGTTGTTGTTATGTAATAAAAATCAAAGGTATATTCCTTGCTCTTGTGTAACTGAATTAAAACAAACTAAGTTATTCTTTAATGTCAATAAAGCTTATAGCCAAATCAAGGGCTGGCCTTACCAAAATTACAGTTAACTACATACAGTATAAACATTTTGTTTTTCTTTAACCTTTCATCTACAGAATTCATTTTTATAGCCTCCTGTTGAGAAGTTAATGTTGTCACAAACAACAATTCTTCAAATTGTGTGAACACCTTTCCTAAACTGACAAAGCATGATTATAATTAATTATCATACTTGTCCTGTGACATTAGTATTAATCCTCTCATATTTTTTAACACTACATTCTTTATTCAGGAAAAGTATTGATAGACGTAATGCATTAATTATTATCAGTGTATTATGGAAGTATGTCGATGATTGGGAAAGGTGTTGTGCTCGTTTCGGCACACGTATTTGCTGTGTTCTATATTGGAGTGCTTGTCATGAGAGGCAATCATTAATAACGAAAGGTATGTACCATAAAGCAGCATCATTTTAAATTGCCTTTACTCATTAATTTACAGTAATTACATTTTAAGAATGCATTCAAATCAAACTTTCATATTGCTGTTCATAATGGTAAACTTAATTCACTCAGAATATCTCAAACAAATTGGTTAGGCATAAAACCTTTAAAAAATCAGTAAACCAGAAATGAAACAGTAACTTGAATTAAATTTGTTTAACTTGTAATTGTTTTAATGTTTTTTTGTGAAAAGTGTAAAATATAGACATTGAGTCAGCCTTGTTTTTAACATTTACATTTTGGTTTCAGTGATTAATGAAAAATGCATAATAATTACTCTTTCTAATGATATGAGTCAATGGAAATCATATGCTGGTGTTGATTTTTATATTTTTATCTTATAGATGAAATATTCCTGATTCTTTACAAGGAATTGTATTATCATCATTTGTATGCTCGAGTTCAGGTATGAAAGTTAAAGCCATTTAAACTACTATTGTTTGTTTTGTGTCTTAATGAATTACATGTAATATAATTTGAAAAATCTTTCTAGATGGTTTTTATTTAAGCTTTCAAATATTAGTAAATAATTTATCTTAATAAACAAACCTGGATATTTAAAGCCAGTTTTGCTTTACTGTGATTGAAAAAAAAAAGTAATAAGTTTCACAGTAATTGATTTTGATTAAGCTGGAATATTAATATTATATTAATCATTCATGAAACCCCTACAATATTGAGCTTGTGCATGATTTCTAAATTTAATTATTCTGACTGAAAGTTTTAGATATGTTCAAATTTAACTAGATATCCATAGTCATTCCACTTCATATTTTATTACTGATAGTTTTTACAAACTGCTGTTAAATGTACACATACGTACATTTACGTTTGGTTATCGTGGTTGCATAAAAATATGTGGTTTTAAAGATATACTGTATTGTAAATGTACTTAACAATGATAGAAACATTAATGGACAATGTATACTTTACAGTAAAAAAGAATTTTTGTCACACACACATATTCCTATTGCTTAATAAAACCGTACTATTTCCATGAATGTTAAGTAGCAAGTGACTTTTATTCATAACAAGTATAAGATAAGAGCTACATACATAGTAATTCTCAACATGTATTATTACTTCCTGAAGCCTACAATGTTAAGTAGCAAGTGCTTTTTATTCATAACAAGTAAAAGATAAGAGCTACATACATAGTAATTCTCAACATGTATTATTACTTCCTGAAGCCTACAAATATTTATATACACACATATATACATTTTCCATATATCAGTTTCTTTAATGAGAAATCCTGAATCTGTCTTTTGAAGATTAACATTATTTATCTATATGTTAGGGTTGCTTGACTATTGATCAAAGATTTGAATCCTATTACAACTACTGTGACTTATTCAACTACATTCTCAGTAAGTGTTTCACTTTGATGGTTTGTTAAACTTATCAAACCCCTCTTATTCTTAGTAAAAAATTTAAATTCCAGGTTCTCCAAGTTTTAATGTTTATAAAAATTATTTTTGTCATTGATATATAAAGTTGAACATTTGTTATGTTGATCATCATTAACTTCTACAGTGATTTAAAACTTTACTAAAGTACTTAGAAATTTGACATGAAAAGTTTTTAGGTATTCAAAAGAAGCAGTTTCCGTCTCTCCCAAAAGATGTGAAACTGTAAAGTACATTACATAATAGAGTGAATAATTGAAATATATCATACTAACACAGAAGCCATTTTATAGATTATAAGTTCTTTAACAGTGTGTACTTTCATTTTGTATAATTAAATTATGTTGAAATCTGTCATTTTTCTTAACTTGTCTTTTTTTTTAATAATACATACTTTTGTTGCATATTTCAAGGTGCAGAAGGTCCTGTACCATTAGAGCTTCCAAACCAGTGGCTTTGGGAAATTATTGATGAATTTATATACCAGGTATATATAGTTTTCTGGGTCTTTGTAGTGAAGTTAACAGATCTTTTGGTTTTATTTGCATTTCATTCAGTTTTTGTTTCAGTGCCATGTTGGAAAGATTATAACTACTAGAAAGTAGAGCATAGCTAGATCATTCTTTTTTTTTTTCTTTATATCCAATATGGGTGGAATATTCGAAAAAAGAAAAGAAATACAACCGAAATTCTTTTCATCTTTAAAGTGTCATTTTAAAGTAATTTATTTGAAGAGTATGCTGTACCAGACATTCTAATTTGTCATTCTGTTCCCTAAAGATAGTCATCACGAACTAATTAGTTCTGACTTGCCCCTTTTCAAATAGGATGGTATGAAAATTTGAAACTGAAGTTGATAATTGGAAGTGTTATAATTGTCACATCTTTTAAAAACTATTAATTCTCCAACTAGTCTGTTGCTCAAAGTTTCAATTTTAACTTGGTTGAAGCTACATGTACAGTTTTTTTCATGATAAAAATAAAAACTCACTTCTATGCTTCAGTATAGTTCAGGTTTAAAAAATAGATTATAAATCAAATAGAGTAAGGAACATTTTTTTTCTCGTGGACTCAATTATTAACACACTTGATTTGTTTCATAATTGACTTGTCTGCTCATGGGTGCTGAAATAAGGTTTCTGTATACTGTCAACATAAGTTGTGATACCAGTATTTTTGATAGGTTGTACGTATTACAGGTATTTTATTAATTTCAAACTTACGTCACACTTATATTAGTTTTAGACGATTTTTTGTAGCACTATTTCTGTCAAGAAAATGGTCTAGATGTATGATATTAGGCTTACTGTAGTACATGTATGAAAACTGGTTTTCAGGTCAACAGTTATTTGAGTCATGCATGTCATGGCATAGTAAATATGTATGATATGTAGTGGTTTATGACAATATGAATTTTAAATTGATAAAAAAATTATGTTAGTATGTCTCATAGGTACCATGCCATATGTTTGAAGTGTTTGTGTGTGTTTCAGATCTGGTGATTTTTTTATGAGTTATTAATGCTAGGTTCAGGGGTGTCAGTATTCTCACCACCAGACTGGAAAGCATTAATATAAAACAAGAAAAAGCAGAATAATGCTTATGTACTGCATGAACCAAAGTCATTCAAATTTGTTAAGACAAACCTAGCATGTTTTGTCAAGAACTGAAGTTTCTGATACATGTGTTGTTATACTTTAATGATTTGAATTCATGTGTGCATTGTCATCTAATTTTTGTCCTTGTTTTATATCCTTCAAATATTAAAATTTGTTTGAAAAGGAAATTAGTCTTAAAATTAACTCCTCCTCATTGAACCTTTTATCCAGTTTTCGTTATAGCATATTACAGAATTGAAATTTTTGTTACACTGTCAATTGGCAGCTTAAGAATACCCTTATAAATGTCAAAATTTCATAATTATTATGTTTGGCAGAGTGTCAATTCTATTTTATGTAACCCATGTTTTTACGTACCTTCCTGAAGAATGAACAAAATCGTTGTTTGTAATTTTGGAGAAAATTGTTAAATAAATGTGATTTTTGATAATAATTTAGACATTTTGTGTTTTCGTTTCATCGGCTTTGTTTTACCCTTTTTTTTTTAATTTAAATTTTCATTTTTGTGCATTGGCCCAGCATGGCCAGGTGGTTAGGGCGCTCGACTCACAATCTTGGGGTCACGGGTTTAAATCCCCGTCCCACCGAACATGCTCGCCCTTTCAGCCGTGGGGGTGTTATAATGTGACGGTCAAT